ACACAGAGCAGGAAATGTCACTACACACAGACATACATACAAACATAAAATTCTAAAATATCCAAGCTGGAAACATAGCTGAGGTGGATTCCCAAACTCCACAACTTTTTCTCCCTTCCCATTGCCACATTCCCCTTATAGCACCATATTCTCTCTCCCCATAGCCGCATTCTCCTCCCCATCGCCATATTCCTCCTCCACATCCCCACAGCCATGTTACTGTTCCCATTCCGGGTTCCAAAAGTCACCTTCTCCTGTCACCAAAATTACAACTAATCCTCCCACCCCGCACCTAGTGGTGTAATAGCAATCCTGATATGATGGAGCAGCTACCTCACACACTGCCATATTCCTTCTCCCTGCCCTAGACAAACTACCCATCCCCACTGCCAGATCACCTCTTCCAAACCCCGCTGCCGTTAACACCTCCCCATTGCAATATTCTACATACCTAGCCCCTAAGTCACCTTTTACCCTTCCCGAAAATCACAACTGCCCATGCCTATCCCAGCATTTGGAGTTCTAGAAGCAATACTAACATAATGGTACCAGCTTCCTATCCCACTGCCAAATTCCCCATCACCACTACCACATTTCCATAACCCACCCCCACTGCTTTATCCTCCCTTCTGAATACCACTGTCATATATCTCCCCTCCCCATTATCATATTTCCTCTCACTGGCCCCCAGTGCCATATTCACCTTTCAACTTCGTAGCCACAAAGTCACGTTTACACCATCCCGAAACTCACAACCAAACTAGGGGATTCCTTGGCACCACTGATATGGCTAGATCACAATATTTTCTTGCTTACGACAAGTGATTTTAACTAGACTTGTAAGGTTTGCAACTACATATGCATTTTTTCTGTATGTAGTTCCCTTAATTTGGAGTTCTAGAAGCAATACTAACATAATGGTACCAGCTTCCTATCCCACTGCCAAATTCCCCATCACCACTATCTACAACAGTACTATTATATTGTATCGCCTTCCATTTTTATATAGCAAGATTCAGGCCATATCAAATTGCTCTTTCTGCACCACTGAATTCCTACGGGCACTTTCTGTCAATGATAATTCGGAGGCACAGAAAAGGACTGCACTGATTTGTCATGCACGCACAGTCTGTTATTGCACCTCAAGTGATACCTGCGCACACTGTGAAAAACTTCTTCGAGTACTGAGGAAGTGGAATTTGTCATTATGATGTCAGATTTAAATGGATGACATCTGGGTGCCATGCAATCCACCAGTTTTTGGGTGTTAAGCAATCCTCCAACTTGAAAACAGTTTGACGTAAACCGGAGGGACTGAACCCATAGAGTTACTTTAACATAATCAATTCAATAAACTATAGAGGTTGTGTTGCTTAAAGCGTCCTTTTAAAATCAATCCATTGTTTTTGGATTGGCTGTCCTTAGCATTTTCACACCAGTGACAGCTGTCCAGATTGTTCTTAATGGTGGGCAGCCCCTGTTTTAGACCGTACTAGTGAGCATCAATCTGTGTATATTTCAATCCCGGATCGAATGTACACTATTGCCCAGAATTTGGTGAACATCGGTTCCTCTGCTTACAATTCTGATTCAGAATGAATTTGCAACTGTTGAAAGTTTTTTCAAAATCTCCTATTGCATCTTCCATCACCCTCAGCCAACGTCTACCTGTAGAGTTATTTGGTAACTTGATTCTCTCAGCTGTAGCAGACTTGGGTAACCTGGAATTCTCTCTGTTGGCCTTGTTCTACAAATCGAACTTGAGAGAAATTGAAGTTGTATTTCACAAACAGTTTTATGAACCTCAGATGGGATACACCTGGTACAGACAGGAGCAACTAGCTTATTATGACCTTCTACTCTGTGAGATAAATGCAAATCTCAGGTAACAAACCAGGCAGCCATAGTACAGACCTCCCCCTCACGCTGACATGACTTTTTCCGAGGGAAGCTGTGAAATTATATTTCTACTTGAGCAGTTTTCAATTTAGATTAAGAGAATTTTGAGACTCTGCATCAAGTAGCTCGACCAGGAACATCTGACATAGAGAGGAGGAGAGAAAGTGAGAGATACAGCGGGGGAAAGGAGGATTGATAGAGGGGTGTAATAAGGAGGATGGGTGGATAATGAGGGAGAGGAACCGAATTTATTATAATGAAGGTGGGAGGTTAGGGGGAAAGGATATAGAGAAAGAAAGAGAGAGGGAAAGAAAGAATGAAAGAAAGAAAAAGTGTTGCAGACAGTTTTGCACCTTTTTTTTGGGGGGGTGAATTCCTCAGCACAATTTATGAAATGTATTGATTGTTTGTTTTTCGCACCTGTTGCTTCTTTTGCACCCTATATGTCATTTTTGAATGTATGACATTTTTTTGTGACACAACAAGTTTATCAATCTTTCCATCACTCTTTCTGCAGAAAAGTGTTCTGTTTCACTTTTTTCCACCACTTTTTGTGAAATGGACGTGGAACTAAAGAAAATCCAAGGGAGACAGCCTGGAATAATAATCACAGCCCCACTGTGGGAACATACATCCACTCTGTATTCTACAGGCAAAGTGATATTTCATCTAATAGTAGAATGGACCTATAATGATACCAATATTGCCGATAAGGCGGGTGGTGGCAGAGGCCCAGCACACACCATCTTCAGCTCCTCTCTCCAACTCTCGCAAGGCCCAGGACCTGCTGGGAACAGAAGATAACGTGTGCAAGGTCTCAACAGCCCTCAATTTATAAAACACCCTGGCAGCCTGCACAAAGCCACTGGACCACCAGGGAGTGTAAAGTCCCCCTCATTGGAAACAAGTAAATAATTTTTTAAAAAGAGAGATTAAATAAAGTAATAATCATTAATTATATAGAAACATAGAATGTGACAGCAGATAAGAACCATTCGGCCAATCTAGTCTGCCCAATTTTTTTAAATACTTTCATTAGTCCCTAGCCTTATCTTATTGTTATGCCTTATGCCTATCCCACGCATGCTTAAACTCCTTTACTGTGTTAACCTCTACCACTTCAGCTGGAAGGCTATTCCATGCATCCACCACACTCTCAGTAAAGTAATACTTCCTGATATTATTATGTTACCTTTGTCCCTCTAATTTAAGACTATGTCCTCATATACATTCTTTATTTATTTGTATTTAAAAAAAAAAAAAAAGTTTTTAGCCCACAGAAAGGATTAGCCACAGAATCCTAACCTACATATTTACACACTGCATTGACTACACATCCACTACACAAACGCACATAAATATTCTTTACAAGATTACAAATCTGACTGGGAGGTATGTGTATTTACCACTCAATAAAAGAAGCATTAAAAAATAACATGTTCAGTTAATGGTAGATATGTGTGGAAATTGTGGTGGGGGGTCCAAAACTGTAAATGTACAGAATATCGGTACCAGTTATCGGCCCGAAAGGCCCCCGATAATCAGTATCAGCACTACAAAAAGTAATATCGGTCGATCCTTACCAGGTAGCCACCTATACTATGGTCACGTTACTTGACTTTCCCTTGCCCTGTCTTCTCTTGCTGGTGCCTTTGACTCATCACAGGAACTAAACTCTGAATGGACTTTGATTGAGTCTTAGGCCACCTAAATCTTCTCCATGTGCGGGTTAACGATTGCCTGAATTCAGATACTTGCTGCGCCAAACAGTGGACAGCCCTTGACAATTGAAGACTTACATAGTTACATAAACTAAAAGTGTCCATCACGTTCAGCCTTTCTATGGCTTATGAACAATGATTTCTCCATGTCAAGGTTAAACTCCCCCAACACGCTAACTATGGGACTAAAAGACAACTTGAGCTAGAAGTATTACCGGTCTTTAAAGTGGCCGGACTTAGCGTGAAGAATAATAAGGAACAAAACCAGAATGGTCAGATGAGCCAAGGTCAGGGTAGGAGAAAGAAGAATAAGTGATAAACAAAGCCAAGGGTCAGGGAAGCCAGAAATACGGAAAACCAGAGACAAGCCGACGTCAGATACCAAGAAAAGACAAGTAAACAGAACGCACTCTCGGGCTACAATAAACCACGACGGGGCAAGGAAGTGATGTAGGAGGGAGGTATAAATAGGGCTAAGAGAGATCTGATAGGCTAGGGAAGAGAATAGGATAGTATATAAAAAGGTTACCAGTTCACATGAAATGATGTACTATCGCTTTAAGGGTTTAGAGGCAAGCCGTGCTTGTATGCGCCCGTCCCCTAACATGCTCCCGGTCGCATGCATGCACCCGGGCGCGCGCGTTGACGGCCGGATGCCAGCAGAGCCTGGAGGAGCAGGACGGACGGCGGGACCGAAGCAGCGTGGCCCGCAAGGAGGTATGACACTCCATGGCTGATTGCGTCACTTTTCAGTCCTGATTATAGTTTGAAGTAGAATTGAGAATCTAATGAATCAAGCATGAATCGACATATAGAACTTTTTCATTTCTAACTTTTTTTATTGTATTCTAAGTTATTTTCTGATACAATGCATTTATATATAAATACAGGATGTTGACAAACCTGAAAGCATTGCTAATAAACTCCTTGAAAACCAGATTTACTTTTTTATGTCAATAATACTTGGTGTTTCTTTCGATACGGATTCCTATGAAAGTGGAACAACAAGTTCGTACAAACCTGAGAACCCGACTAGTGCAGAAAGAGATGGACAAACCACTACACTGTGAGGAATTAGTTAGACCGACAAACAAGAAGTTGTCGAGATAGTGAAGGAGGGAATAACAGCCCGACACCCACGCCATGATCCATTCCAACAAGGAACTGAAAACTTCAAAATAAAAACAAAAAATCGAACAACCCATGAGAAGGCACATGTCGAAGAAAAAGCCCCCTGAAACTGATTTTTTCCAGAATTCCATGCTTTCAACTGTAAAACCAATTGTATCCTTTTGGTTGCTATGCCAACCCCTTAGGGCAGCAGTCATGCTCCCCCCTCCCTATTCGCTCTGGGGTTTGGCCTAGAGAAGGAGATGAGTGCTGATAAGGTATGAAGTAACAGGATTGAGGGAATAGGTGGTGGGGCAGGAGAATGGAGCAGAACAGAAACCTCTTCTGTTGTAGCAGGTGCGAATGACTATAATACAGCGGATGGAGTGGGGGGAAGTATTGGTAGGGGAAGGAGAGAGATGAGAGCTCTATTCCATGATTGTAGAAATCTTCTCAGTGAAGTGAGTTGCAAAGTTTGTGACAGTTAAGTTGGTAGGAGGAGGAGGATCAACAGGTCGAAGAAGAGAATTAAAAGTGCGGTTATAAGGGTATTGAAGTCGTTTTCTTTTGCAGAGATAAGAGCCACACTGTAGGAGCATAGCATAAATTTATAGTGGAGGAATTTAAAGGAACACTATAGTCACCTAAATTATTTTAGCTAAATAAAGCAGTTTTAGTGTATATATCATTCCCCTGCAATTTTACTGCTCAATTCACTGTCATTTAGGAGTTAAATCACTGTTTCTGTGTATGCAGCCCTAGCCACACCTCCCCTGGATATGATTGACAGAGCCTGCATGAAAAAAAAAACTGGTTTCACTTTCAAACAGATGTAATTTACCTTAAATAATTGTATCTCAATCTCTAAATTGAACTTTAATCACATACAGGAGGCTCTTGCAGGGTCTAGCAAGCTATTAACATAGCAGGGGATAAGAAAATCTTAATTAAACAGAACTTGCAATAAAGAAAGCCTAAATAGGGCTCTCTTTACAGGAAGTGTTTATGGAAGGCTGTGCAAGTCACATGCAGGGAGGTGTGACTAGGGTTCATAAACAAAGGGATTTAACTCCTAAATGGCGGAGGATTGAGCAGTGAGGCTGCAGGGGCATGTTCTATACACCAAAACTGCTTCATTAAGCTAAAGTTGTTCAGGTGACTATAGTGTCCCTTTAAACACAGAGGCATCATATAATCTCATACAGATTTTATTCACTGAAAGATTGGGCCAAAAGAAGATGAATTGTTATTAGGTTTTCATCCAATTTAAATTTGGCTAGTGAGCTGTCTGCTCACAGTTTAGTAAAGAACCCAAGGATCCAGAGATGGAATGTTTCTCAAGTAGATAGACGTTTGTACTGTAGAAGTATGTGTGAAGCATGTTTTTCTGAAGACTGTGACTGTGATTTAAGGGTCTCTGACGGTGGGATATGACTTTGGGTAGGTGTTTTTTCTTTTGTCTGGTGGAAGTAGTTTTCCTTTTAACTGGATGAATATTTCTTTCACATTTCTGGGTAAAGATTTCTTGGGCTATGGGCTGTTTCCGTAGTAAGTAGTATCTATCCCTGGATGGACTGTGCACTGTGTCTCTATGAGGCTGATCTTGTGTTAAATGAATGAGCTGCCCTACAGATGTCCATTTGGCGGATGGAGAAATAAGCAATCACTGGTGGTGGGTTTTGATCTTCTGAAGGTGGGATGGCTTATTCCTTGGTTGCAAGATGTGTCTCTGGTGATTGGACACTTGTCTGCTAACTAGATCTATTTCGGAACTGAACTATCAGGAGATGTGCATCAATCAATGTCTTCTCTTGGATTTGATGTCTCTTACTCTTGCCTCCATCGATTCGAGTTGACTTTATTGACATGGCATAACATTATGGAATTATGAAATGTTTTCAATATCACGTATTCACAAAGCTGAGGAATAAGATGAGGATTTCAGTCTTTTTAGGGATTTATGTGGCATGTTTTAGCTTATGGCACATAGTGATGACTCCATCTATTTCTGTACTCTGTATATTACTTCTGCTGCAATGTTTTAGTTGTCTGTTTGGTGTGTGTGGTCTTCTTACAGCATGACTGTCCATTTCTAGTGCGTTCTCTCATTAGTGATTGGACAAAATGCTCTCGGATGCTATTTTGTGACTGGCAGGTAATTGCTGTGCGTGGGGGCGAGGGGTTAATTAGGGTCTCGGATGTGAGTGAGTCTTTAATACTGTGGGTGTTATTGCTCTTCCTTCTTTCTCAACCTCCTTCATCCTCTAAATAAAATCAGTCCGTCTCCCTCCCCTTGCCTTTACTGTTTAACTCCCCCAATCTCTGTAATTCAGTAATTTTGTTTTTTGCCCAGCATAGCCAGCATGTCTCATTCTCTCTCTTTTATTTGATTTTTTTCTTATGGCTCTTTTATTCTATATCATTTATTTCTTATTATTCCCTCCTTTTCTCCCCCCTCCACCCCCACCTCTTTTCTCTCTATAATGCTCCATTACACACAATGTATAATTCCCAGAGAACAGTGAGAAGGAGCTCACTGATCTTGAAATAAAGGTTCAGGAACTACGGATTTTACAGCTCAGTTCCACTGAGTTCCAACAGACATTAAGTCCTGATCTCTCTCGGTTTATTCCTCCCCCACTCCCTCTCGAACCCTCTACATTCATTCTCAATCTTTCTCTCCCTCTTTCCATCTACCGTAACCAACTGTCTGTTTTCCTCCAGCCTCTCTCTTTCCTTTATCTTTTAACCCTCTGTCTCTCTTTCTGTTAACTTTTACTCATCTCTTTCTCCTGCTTCTACCCATTCCGCACTCTGCTGACACCCATCTCTTTCTCTCTCTCTTCCTCAATGCATCTCTCTCTATTTTAGTTATCATTTAACCATCTCTCTCTAATTGTGTTTATCTTTCACTCTATCTCTTTCTAGATCTTCATCTACATGTCTCACACTAATGTTCTTCTTCTTTCATACTCTCCCTTTACCTCCATGTCTTCTTTTCAAATCCCTCTCTCTATTCTCCACCTCCCTCTCTTCCTCTGTCTCTTTTCTTGTTTCTTTACCTCCTTTCTTTCCCTCCCTTCTTCTGTTTCCCAGTCCCTCTATTATTAATTATCCGTTATTTTTCCTTTTGTTTTCGTTCTTAGACTAAATCTCACTTTCCTCCAATATCCAATTTAAAGTTTGTCCATATCCATCTCTTTCTTCCTCTATCTCTTCTTCTCTATTCTCCGTCACTGTTTCTCTCGTTCTGCTTCTCTCCCCTCTCCTCTATTACTCCCTCTCAGGGTTATTTACTAAAGTAAGATCTGACGGGATTTCAAAGTGAATTTCAAAATGAAGACCAAAATAGCCGAGTAAGAGAGATTCCCCAAGTCAATTCAATTTTCAGTTTGGCTACACCTTTAATTCCCAGCAATTCTCACTTTAGGGAATAGCCTGTATATCTCTGTGTCCTTCTCTCTATTTCTAAGTCCCTCTCCTTTATTTCTTTCCCCCTCCTGTGCTCCCACCTCTCATATTGCACACCGCTCCTCTCTTTCATTCTGATTTTCCCATTCTCTCTCTTTCCTATACCTTCACTGTAATTGTAAGTATAATTTATGTTCTTTTCCTTTCTCTCTCTCGTTGAATCTACCCTGACTTTGCACCGTCTCAGACTCCCTTTTTCTTTCTGAGATATCTGTGTCCCTATTATTGCTGTTTAATTAAAGAGGGAGACATGGAAGTGGAGCCAAGAGCTGACACTCTGTCACGTTCACCCCCAGCGTGGCAGTCCCTAGAGCAGGGTGGGCAGAGCAGGGTTAAGTCAGCACCGTTGCTGCTGTCGGGGAGAATTTACTTCCCTGTGTTTAAACCGAGTGGGACATTTATCACTTCCCGCTCCAAATGGGTTTGTGTCACTGGCTGGCAGCTGCAATCTGTCACCCGCCCTGCTATGCTTGCATGGCCCATCTGTCACTGTCACACATGGACCAGGAGGGACCACAGCCCTGTGCCCGCTGCTGTCAGGGCATCACCCAAGCAGTGCTGCACATGAACTGTCTGCGCCTCCTTGTGTTTTCTGTCATCTGGAGGCCATTGTATGACACTCTGTCATTTGCTACTCTCTCTGTCACTCAAGCCGCTTCATTTCAATTGTCTGCAGCTGCAAGGTTGATTCGGCGTTCCTTGCTTTCTTTTTATAGCCATCTTGCTACCCTCTATTAACTCATGTTTGTCACATTTCTCTCTCCTGCATTAAAACGGGCAAAATATCTCCCAGGCCTTCACTGTATTCCATAGAACTCAGGTAAAAGCGTTAACAATCCAGAATCAACAGGTAGCTCTCCAGCTGTTGCTGTTCTGCAACGGAAATGCTTCTTAGCCAGGCTTCGGCCTACCAAAGTCTATCTGAGGATCATGGGAGTTGTATCTTAGAAACAGCTGGAGAGCTACCTATTGACTACCCCTGGCTTTTATGGGCTCTTGAGATAGGGTGGCAAATATGTGAAGGAAATTCTATAAATTCACCACGCTCTGAACCGTGAAGCCCACCCTCTCGCTTCACAATGCAGTGATGTGGATAGGTGGCTGACAAAATGAATGAGGGGTGCTACCTCACAACATTCAATGGGTGAAGGGGTAACCCTATATAGCCTTTGCTCCAATGCCCAGCTATGAACTAGGGAATATTTAAATTTATACTTAAACAAATGAAATACCAATATCTGGTCAATTTGTGTTGTACCTGCTTTGTGATTTGATATGCCCTACTTTGGGGCACTTTCCTGGGCGTATATGCTGTTGTTGCAATGGTTGGGGAGCAGGAGGACTGCCTGTAGAAGGCCTCTCCACCTATCCCTGTCAGTCAAATCTTTGACACAGAACTCTATGCTGCAAAATTGATTGACATGTGGTTAAAGACCTGTTTTTATACCTAAATTGTATACATTTTCTAGCAATTCTGCTATCACAATCTATAGATGGAATTTTATCGGATGTTTGATTAATATCTGCATTCCTCTTATATTTTTCATATATATTCATAAACATTTGAGGCTAATCTCTGAATTTGAAAATATGCTACTTTTCAAAGTCCAGAATTGTGATTTTGTGTCAGATAAAAACACAATAATTTATACAATTCCAAGGCGAAGTATAAAAAAGGTGGGATAGCACAAAATATAGAGGATACAACCTGTATTGCAGAAGGGGATCTCGAAGAGATCTAAAAATATATAAATATACAGATAGTGAAGTATATAGAGGTAGTTGAACTACATCCAGGAGGTAGAGAACTTACAAACGGTAATGGTGTTCTACGCTTGTCTCCCCTATGGGGTGTCTTTAAAGTGATACGATTCTTCTTATGTAGATTTGTTACCGGGAAACTGACGGAGGCCAAGCACAGAGAGATGGACACAGGTTTCTTCAGGAAGGAAGAGATCTTTATTCGATTCACCGACCGGGACTCAGAGGGACTTATGTCACCAAAAACAGCAAAGATCTGAGTACTGAATACATAGAGTACATTCCTTATATAGCACTGTAGCTCCTCCCATAATTAGCTACGCCCACACATACCCTTAACCTAATCAATGAATAGTGTCTAAACTCATCCATCCGGTCTAACCACGTGGCTCATCTGAAACAAAGGAGAGGGACGCGTAATTCCAGTTCCTGCATTCCTGCACATGCTCAGTACAGTGATGACAGTATCTTAGCTACGTGTAACTAACTAACTGATACTACAAACACATGTACCTACATATGCCTTGTGGCAATCTTGGCCTGCTAAACTTGTATTTTATTAAAGACACGGAGGCTCCTATTATGCATTCTCTTTCTTTATTATACTCCCAGCAGCAAGAAGAGGGAAGTATGAGAGAATCATAGAAAAAAGAAAACCATAACAGTATCCTGGTAACAGTAGCACCAATCAGCATCCAGTATAATCCATATAGGTGTAGTGCTCCTTGACTCCTCCTCTTTCTTGCTGCTCCCTCAGACAAGTTAAGTACATCATTTTATTACTCTTGTGAATTTTATACATTTATTTATATTTAATTACTGCACATTAATTGAATGATTCTTAGATGATATTATTACAAGTTAGTATTATGTCATTCTGTGTTACTTCTGTTTTATGCCCTTCTGGTGTTAAGGAGAGTGCTGCCTAACTGCTTCAGGGGAGTGATTTCTCCCTGCCCCACATGTTGGTTCTCTGTTGGGTGACTGGGGCTACTTACCTGGCTTCTGGTGCTTGGCTTGGCACCTTCGGTTTACGTCCGTGGTATTTCCGCTGTTTTGCGGCCGGCCGCGCATGCGCAGCCATTGAATTTATTTTTCCACTTTGGGCCCGGTCGCACATGCGCAGTTGATAGCGCGGCGGCCATCTTTTTGGTTTATGTCGCCGGGAGTGTAAGTTTACACTCGCAGCGGCCATTTTAAGCGCGATTTCGGCGGGAATTTGCTGAACAAACCTTCTACTGGCTTCTCCTACCCACCCAAGCACTCTCCTAGGAACCAGACTGGGCTATAATTGCAGTGTATATTTCGGTTTTGTTTGTCTACTAAACTGTAAGTGTGGTGTGGAGGATTAATCTATCCTGACACCATTTTCTTTGCTAACTTTTCCTAAACTAATTCCTTTACAGATTAAAACACTCTGCTAATACTTTTAACTGATACCAAGTGTATAAGTGGATTTTACTGGCCTAATATTTCCACTAGTTGAACTAGGGTATAAATTCCCTGTAAAGATTTTAACTGCTATGCAGGACCAGAGTGACAGACCTTCAGGGTCCATGTGCCCCACATCAGGCGTTTCCCCCTCTAACAAGGGAAGTAAAAGTGACGCCAGCCTCATGGCATCTGAGGAGTTTCAGTCCCTCCTGGACGTTACCATGGCACAATCCATTAACAAAGCTTTGACCTCTGCGATGGGGGTCATGTCGTCCTCTATCACTCAGTCTATAACAGAGGCATTGATACAGACACAGACTAGTGGCATGCAGAACACACGCAACCCGGTACCCACTAACGTGGCTCAACCGGGACGTAAGGCGTTAGCAAAAAGCAGACATGTAACCTCCCCTCCAGAACTGCAGGTTCAGCCTGCATCGAATGACACGCTTCAGGCTGTCAAAGATGGCGCGATACCACCGCGCACTAGAGCCCCTGGCCGGGCAAAATCGGCCAGAACTTGGAAACGGGCACGTGCCCATGGGGATTCGTCCGATTCGGACCGGAGTGTGGAGGAAGAATATGAGGATCCCTATATGGATCATTACAGCGCGGAATTTTCGGATTCCGGGTCTGACATCCAAACAGGCGTTGCTACCCAAAAGAGTACGATTCAGGGCACTACGCCTCCTGGCTCTGGCGAGGTCGACTATTTGCAGGACCCACTGGGTAACCCGTTATTTGACCCAGATGACCTTCGTCATCCTCGATCGGCGGCATGGGAGCCGCCTACTCACATCGCTAAGTATCTCGCACTTCGGGTGCGAAAGCCCTTATCAAAAGAGGGGCGCAATAAATTACGGGCAGAATGCCCACGACCCATCCTCCCAGACTCGATGGAAAAGACACCGGACGTGGACCCTCAATTGGTCCAATTCTTGAACAAGTCGGGTTGGAAGCCAAGGAAGGGATTGGATTTTTCCCTCAAAAACTGCCAAGATAAATTCCTTGATACTTTGGGACCCATAACTAAGCTTTATGAGCTAGTGGAGTTCGCCCAATCGGGCGAAAGCGAATTTGATTTCGAGGTAGCGATAGGCTGGTTGCAGAGATTAGTCTGCATGGTAGGTAACGCCAATGCGGCTATGGCTACCGAGCGCCGCAAGGCGATTCTTCTAAAAATAGAGCCAAAACTGACCAGCATGGCGACCAACGAGCCGGGCCCAGCGGATAAAGGCTTATTATTTGGTGAATCCTTTATTAAGGATCTTGGGCTGTACGTTAAAACGTTTACGGCAATTGATAAGGCTCAGACATCTCTTAAGAGAGTATTTGCACCACGGGTTTTTGGAGGGGCCGGCAGAGGAAGGAGCCGTCTGCCCGGCCGTGGATTTCGAGGCTCAACTAGAGCCGGCAGAGGCTCCTTTAATAACCAGAGACCGGTACCAGAGAGACAATATACCCCTTTCTTCCCATCTCGGGGACGGCCCTGGAGTTCCCGTGGACCGCGGGGGTCTGTTTCAAGCAGAAGACCTTATGGTGAGTACCGAATATCTCCGTTTTTCCCATGTAAAAGTGGGGGGCAGACTGGCATTGTTTCATCATGCTTGGAGAATGTTAACCACAGATGTTTGGGTATTAAATACGATACAAGGGTACCTATTGGAGTTAACCTCCTACCCAGTTCAGACACAGCTCCCTCGAGAACTAACTATGACCAGCCAACACCAGGTGATGATCTCTACAGAGATCGCAGAATTAGCGTCCAAGCACGCTATTCAACAAATCCCATGGGACACAGAAGGTTTCGTGAGCAATTTGTTTCTAGTCCCCAAGAAAGGAGGCGGAGTGCGCCCAGTAATAAATCTCCGTCCTCTAAATGCTTTTGTCCAATACCACCATTTCAAAATGGAGGGTATTCATTGCCTTCGAGACCTGCTCATACCATCGGATTGGATGGTCAAGATAGATTTGCGGGACGCTTACCTGACCATCCCGATCGCAGAGGCGCACCGAAACCTACTGCAATTTCAGTGGCAAGGAGCGAAATGGAGGTTTGTATGTCTGCCATTTGGCCTATCCTCTGCTCCATGGTGCTTCACAAAAGTGCTAAAACCAGTGATTGCCTTCCTGCGCACACGAGGGGTCAGATTAATAATTTATCTAGACGACATCCTTCTTCTGTCCCAATCTCAATCCCAACTTCGCATTCACCTATCCTGGACGATCCACCTTATCCAAAACTTAGGATTTTTGGTGAATTGGGAAAAATCAATTCTACTACCCTCCAGATGGATAGAATGTCTGGGTTTCCAAGTCGATTCTGTTCGACAGAGGTTGTGTCTACCCAAAGACAAAATGATTTCGATCAAGAAGGAGATCCGACGGCTTATGCATCGTACGACTATTTCCCTCCGACAACTTGCGAGGATCATAGGACTGTTGGCATCGTCCATACAGGCGATCTTCCCAGGGCCGCTACACTATCGTGCCCTACAAAGACTCAAAGCCTCATACCTACGCTCTGGTCACTCATACGAAACCTGCGTCACACTGGACGAAGACTCCAGGGAGGAACTAGACTGGTGGCTAACACACATGGAGGCATGGAACGGACGGGCGATATTTGGATCGACGCCGGACCTGGTCATAGAGTCGGACGCCACCTTACATGGCTGGGGCGCGCATTGCGGATCAGTTTCCACCGGTGGCAGATGGTCGAACGAAGAGTCTCGGTTACACATCAACTGCCTAGAGCTGTTGGCAGCGTCTTTTGCCATTCGCAGTATGACCCCCACAGGCATTTCATGTTAAATTTTAATCAAGATGGACAACGTCTCAGCGGTGCGTTATATCAACCACCTAGGGGGGACGAAATCGAAGGTTCTCGCTTTGATGGCTCGAGATTTTTGGCACTATTGCCTGAGAAACAGCATTTCAGTAATAGCGGAGTACATTCCGGGGCAGGACAATACAATGGCGGACTGGAACTCCCGATACCTTCGGGACGCGGGGGACTGGCACCTCCACCCAATGATTTTTCAGCGCCTCTCTCGGCTCTGGGGTCCTTTCAGTATAGACCTCTTCGCGTCTCGACTGAATACCCAACTTCCTCGATTCTTCAGTTGGAGACCGGATCCAGATGCTCTGGCAACAGACACATTCCTGCAGGACTGGACCAAGGGCAGGAACTACGCGTTTCCCCCGTTCAACCTCATTTCTCGAACCCTAACGGTCCTTCGATATTCCAAGGGGACGCTGGCACTGGTAACCCCATTATGGAGATCACAACCTTGGTTCCCTCAGTTATTGGAAATGTCGATAGATTTCCCACAACTGTTGCCGGACATTCCCTACCTCTTAACCAACCCAGAGGGAATGAGTCACGAGCTGGTCAACCAGGGCCTACTGCAACTGATGGCATGGCTCATTTCAGGAGATCATGGAATCTCGAGGAGGTTTCGCAGGCGACACTCAGTCTCTTGGCAGAGTCATGGGCACCAGGTACCAGACGTGCCTACGGATCGGCTTGGAGAAAATGGTCTGATTGGTGCATGGGACAGTCAATGGATCCCATATCAGCTTCTATAAAAACAATCCTACAATTTCTGACTCTACTCTTTGAGGAAGGAAAAGCCTTTCGCACTATAAATCTGTACCGATCAGCTATATCAGCGAGACATATGGGGTTGGATGGCACCCCAATAGGTAAACATGCCCTTATATGTCGCTTACTCAAAGGCATCCGTCTCATTCGACCTCCTCAGACTCGATATTCTTCCTTTTGGGATGTCAATTTGATGTTACGTTTGCTCGAGTCTTGGCCAAAGAACCAGGAACTTTCACTGAAGCAATTGTCGGCCAAACTGTTGATGCTGTTTTGTTTACTGTCATGTAAACGAGTTGCTGATGTCAGGGCGCTAGACTGGCATACACGTGTTTTTGCCCCTAACGGAGTATCCTTTAATATTTCACGTAGAACGAAATCCTCGACCAAGGAGGTGTTCTACCCATCATTGCCGGACAATCCAAGTTTGTGCCCTGTGTTATGTCTGAAAGAATACGAGCTTCGCACGGCTTCACTCCGTCCAGGACACACCCATCCACTGTTCATCTCATTCAAAAGACCTCACCTACCAGTATCTACTGCTACTTTAGCTCGTTGGGTCAAATGGTTGCTGTCAATGGCAGGCGTAGACACCTCGGTTTTTTTCCTCGCATTCTGTTCAGCGGAGCTATGGCCTCTAAGGCATCCATGATAGGTTGTAAATTGGAGGATATACTACGGGCAGCCGACTGGTCGAATGAGTCTACATTTCGTAATTTCTATTTACGCCCAGTGCAACACATCTCCAGTGCAGTGGTTGCTCAGCTTTAAAATAGTAGGAGCCTCCGTGTCTTTAATAAAATTACCAGATTTTACTATTAACATGACGTAAAGTCATGATTTTATTAATGACACGGAGGCGAGTATTATTCCCTCCCACCCTACCCGGAGTGGTGAGTAAATTACAACCAGAACATGAAGCAGTTATGATGACTTCATACGGTAGGTACATGGTCATTCATGACACAGGTGAGTGGGTATTCGATGAATGTGGTTTATATGATACGCAGTTCGATCTAGCAATATGGCTGTCAAGATTTGATGTAATTCATCGTTTGATTAACATGATTGACGACTTGTTGGTTGCGGAATTTAGTCACGAGATTTCGATATTACCATATTTCTCCTTTCTTTTAGCTTGAATACAACTGGAGAGTTGGCGGTTGAAACGGTTCTAAATCGAAGTTTCCAGTTATGGTTGTTGGTTCGTGGATTCTTAGTTATGGTTGGACTACTTGAAATTTTGCACTAATGGTCTTCGGGATCTACGCAGAAAGAGGAGGAGTCAAGGAGCACTACACCTATATGGATTATACTGGATGCTGATTGATGCTACTGTTACCAGGATACTGTTATGGTTTTCTTTTTTCTATGATTCTCTCATACTTCCCTCTTCTTGCTGCTGGGAGTATAATAAAGAAAGAGAATGCATAATACTCGCCTCCGTGTCATTAATAAAATCATGACTTTACGTCATGTTAATAGTAAAATCTGGTAATTTTACTGGAATTCCATCACATTCCCCCCTTTGATGCTTCTGATTTAAAATAATTCCAGATGCATCACCAATCATAGTTTGCTTACACCTCAAGTTGCCATAAACCAGACTAGACTTTGCGATCCTCTAAAGATACGAACCCCTCAACATTCCTCTTCCTGCATGTATTCTCCTTGATCTAGAGCTTCATACCTGCAAACAGCCATTACCTGTGCTGCATCCTTTCTTTCTGCTATACTTTCTATAATGCTCTGCATAGACCTAATTACCAAAGGAATCAGACATGGCAGAAGGAGACACAACATCAAAATCAGTATGACTCCACCTACCAATGCCTTGATTCCTCCAAACTGCTCATACCAACTACCAAACCAACTACTCGGATTATACCCTTTCCATACCTGAGTAGGTACATGTGCTAGCTTAACCATATGGCTAGTAAGCTCAGCTATTGCTTGCCCTTCATCATCTATTTGAAGACAACAATTGCTTAGATTAAACTTCCCACATATACCTCCCTCTACTGCCAATAGGTAATCCAAAACTAATATATTCCGGTAGATGGCTGTCCTCATCCTAGTGTTATGCTTCGCTAGGAGATTGAGCGCTTGTGATGTTTCATTGGTAACTATCTCAACTACTGCTTGCAATCTTATAATACGATTAAGCATATATATTGGGGTTTTGTATCCATAAGTACCATCCTCTGCCCAAGTAGCTGGCCCATAATAATCTATAATACGCTGGGGAGGCCACTCATCATCTTCCCAGGTACCTATCTCTAGGGGTGCCCTTTTCTTCCTATGATTTACATCATATACTTTAACTCCCAAAGTCTCTCCTGTTTCAATTGGCAACAAGAAGGATGGTTTGAGCATACCCAATACACATGCCCCTTCCCAGTCCTGTGGTAACTCCGAATATGCTTTCTTACCACAAATCCAGTACAAATTTGCTGGGGCTTTCCAACTAGATGTAGCAAATAGGTCAAACCATACATCCTTTAAATTGGTATAATTTGCAAACGGATTAGACGGTTCTGAGACATTTGAAGCTGACCACCAAATAGTATCCTTTGTATCGTCATTATAGGCTTTCTGCCCTAAACAAGTCAATTCTCCTACAGATGTATTAAACATTATTCCTTTCCTTGCTATACAAACATAACCTATAATGGAGGTCTTTAATCGCCACTCAGATTTACCTCTAACACTCACTTGATAATCAGATTGAGAAGATATTAGTTGTTCAACTGTCTCAGAACCAGAATACATTACCTCCTTTGCTTCCCAAGGCCATTGGTCTCCCATATTAGTACCTCCACACACATAGCAGTTGGTTACATTAAGACTACCAGCAATGCTCTCAGCTAGGTCTATGAATAAGTTTTTGGCATTATGGGGAACCTTATCTTCCACACTCATCTCCTCATAAAAAGAATGGAAAACCTGATGAGTCTGGGGGGCCACTGTATCTGTCTCTATTCCTATGTATAATATCGTCCCAGGATCCAAACCTGTTCCATATATTTGGAACCCAAATAGATTCCCAAACTTATCTATAAATAGCTCTGGGTCCTTGATAAGTATATGGACTGGGTTACACTCCATAGACTTACAATATGGCTTGGTAGGCAATCTAGTGATAATCATATCCTTATCTACTGTCTGTCCCCAGGTTGCCCATCCCACACAGGACCAATACGGACAATAATTGTAGTCTTTATTTAGGCAGTTTGGATCTATATACTTATGCTTATTACTAGGACAAATATACTTATCATTAGACCCATACGTTCTTTCCCATTTAAGACCACCACATACATTCCATGGCTTCCTACTACCTGATATCGCCTTACATGCATCAAATAGCAAAACACCTGGAGAATGTACGCTTTCTAGTACAGTCTTATTTATCAGGTTCCCCTGTGCGTTCTCATTCCGAATAGTCAACCAAATTGTACGGGGCTGATACTCAGGATTAAAACACCTAGGTTCTCCTGCTCCTATATGACATACACTATAATCTGTACCTAGGTATCTACACTTTGATACATGTCCTGTGCACTCATATTGCGAATGCCAAATAAGGGTCTGGGAAATACGATTGCCTGTTTTCGTAGTCTTAATGCAAACCTCGCAGCCTGGTGTGTCGGTACCTCTACCTTCCTGAATAATTAAAAACACACATATATACATCATCAAACACATTACTCCTGACATCTTCTTCCTAATTCTTCGACCGTGCGACGGCACCTCAGCTTCCAGGCGTGTGAGGGCTGCAGGGAATGGAGTCCTTCTGATCCTCACTGTTCTTCACAGAGGATTCCTCTGGCTTGAACGTTGGTAGGTGGTCAGGCTTTATTGTGGCCGTCAAAACACCTACTTGTAGATCTTTGTTGATGTTCCCTTGTAACAATACTCTTCGCAAAAACCACTTTTAATCTAACTGGGTCACTCGCTTCAACCTGATCTTGCAGGGATTCTCAGGATCTTGAGTAGCTTGCCAAGAATCTGCTGCTGGTTTAACCCTGGAGTGATGAATCCACGGAGTCACCTCTGCCACCTTTATAGCTGTTGGAGTAGACAAAAGAACAACATAAGGACCCCTCCACTTTGGCCCCAACGATACACTGTTCCACTCCTTTATCCAAACTTGGTCTCCTGGATGGTAAGAATGGACAGATGGATAAATATTTACAGGTAACCTATCTTGTATCCATTTCTATACCTCCTCCATAGTTTTACCCAACTCTACAACCTGCCACCGGGTAATTCCTTCTCCCAACTGACTCAAGTCCCCCCTTAAGTTACAAAGTATGGGAGGTGGACGCCCATACATAATTTCAAAGGGTGATAGACCTAACTTTCTGGTAGGTGTACTACAAATGCGCAACAGAGCTATTGGCAAAAGAACATTCCACTTGAGTTGGGTTTCTTGACACATTTTTGCCAACTGGGTCTTAATGGTTCTGTTCATCCTTTC